TCAGCACTGTGTTCACTCAGTGAGCTAACCAGCCATCCCTATATGGGATCCGAACCCATGGCCTTGGTGTTATGCGCACACCACACCCTCCCGTGTGATTCCTTTTGAGTTACCTCTTTGTGAAGAGTGTAAAGACTTTGTCTAGTTTTTTTTTTTTTTTTTTTGGAATGTGGATGTCCTATTGTTTCAGCACTGTTTGCTGGAAAGACTGTATTTTCTCCGTTGTATTTCCCTTGTGCATTTGTTGAAGATCAGTTGACTGTATTTATATGAATGTATTTCTGGGCTCTCTGTTCTGTTCCAATGATCTTTATCTATTCATTCACCAATACCATACTGTCTTGATTACTGTAGCTTTATAGTATGTCTTGAGGTTGAGTAGTGTCAGTCTTCTAACTTTGTTCTTCTGCTTAAATATTTTGCTAGCTATTCTAGGTCTTTTGCATCTCAATGTAAACCTTAGGATGAGTTTGTCAGTACCCACAAAATAACTTGCTGAGACTTTGGTGTTGTGTTAAATTTATAGATCAAGTTGGGAAAAACTGGCATTTTGACAATATTGAATCTTCTTGTCCAAGAACATGGAATATTGCTCCATTTATTTAGTTCTCCTTTGATTGCTTTCATCAGAATTTTGTAGTTTTTCTCATATAGGTCTTTACATATTTTGCTAGATTTAAACCTTTTTTTTTTTTTTTTTTTAAAAAAGATGAACAGAAAGGGGATCTTAACCCTTGACTTGATGTTGTCAGCACCACACTCTCCCAAGTGAGCCAACTGGCCATCCTTACATAGGGATCCGAACTCGTGGCCTTGGTGTTCCACAGGCTGACTCTAAAACCCTGTAATTCTAATGAGGCTTCTGTTTACAGATTACTAGGGAATTCTTGCATATTTCCTAGATCAGAGCACACTGACAAACAAACATAAATATAACAAAAAAAGACTAAAGTTTCAAATAATAAGAGAACCACAATATTTGCCACTGTTACGTGTAGTGAATCTATCTAGACATTTTTCAAAATCTGTTAAAAAGAATCTAATTGTTTACCAGAAGAGGAAAACTGATCAGATATAACAAATATTTCCATGTGATCTAACACACGCCACATTTTCATGCATACTTTGTCATATTCTCAGTTTTTGAGAACTTTTATTGTGGACAAAGATGAAGGGTGTTATCTGCACCACACTCCCAAGTGAGCCATGGGCCGACCCCTATACCTAAATATTTTGATTTGGGGGTGTTAAGTAAGTAGTATTGTGTTTTTAACTTCAAATTCCACTTGTTCATTGTTGGTATATAGGAAAGTGATTGACTTTTGTATACTAACTTTTGTATATCCTGCAACCTTAGAATAATCAAGTTCTAGGGATTTTTTTGTTGACTTTTGGATTTTCTACATAGATGATCATGTCATCTGCATAAAAAGGACAGTTTTAGTTCTTCATTCCCAATTACTCTACCTTATTTCCTTTTATTGTCTTACTGCATTATCTAGGACTTCTAGAACAGTATTGAAAAGGAGCAGTAAGAAGGGCCATCCCTGCCTTGCTTCTGATCTTAGTGGGAAAGATTTTAGTTTCTCACCATTAAGTATGATGTTAGATGTAGGGTTTTTGTAGATATTTTTTATCAAGTTGAAGTTCTCCTCTATTCCTAGTTCACCAAGAATTTTTATCATGAATGGGTGTTGGATTTTGTCAAATACTTTTTCTGTATCTATTGATATGATCATGTGATTTTTCTTCTTCAGACTACTGATATGATAGATCACATTAATTGATTTTCAAATGTTGAAGCCGACTT